AAAATTAAAATGAGCAAAACAAAAACTAAGAAATGTTAGTGATGTGAGTACGGGCTTTTCTTTTGGATCTGTTGTTTCTGTGACTCAACTACAGATAATATTGAAAATATTTATCATTTTTTAATTATTTTAAATCTACTTTTACGTATATTAAATGAAGTCAGTAACAGACAGACTGAGTTGTATCTGTAACAGGGTTGCCACTCTGTCCACAGTGGTAGGTTTTTCTGCACCTGCCTCAGTAAAACACACGAGGGCGATGTAGGAACACAAAATAATTTAGCACTTCATTTATTGTTTGATCCACACACACACGTCATGAGACGGTTTTCTGCTTGAAAAAAAAAATCTAAATATTTGCTGTTTTGTCAGACATTTTTTCCCAGATCTCGGATTCAGGGGGAGTCATGGTGTTTGCTAAGTTTGATCAGTTTCTTCGGGAGGTGTTGAAACTGCCCACAGCAGTATTCGAGGGCCCTTCATTCGGATACACAGAGCATTCGGTGCGGATGTGCTTCCCTCAGCAGGTAGGAGGGATGCTTTAAGGGTGTGTGTATGTGTGTGTGTGTGTGTGTGTGTGTGTGTGTGTACATGTTTTTGTTACCTGGTGGGGATGATTTTTGACCATTTTCCTGGTACACACATCCTGGTGAGGAGCCAATATCCTTTATAGAGGCAAAAGCTCAGTCTTCATCTGGGGAAATACCGTTGTTGAGTCAGGGGTTAGGTGTGAAGTCAGGACTGGAAAATGAATGGAAGTCAATTCAAAGTCCAGATGGGGATAGAAGTATAAACGTGGAGACTGGTATTCCCTACGTTGTATGGCAGTTTTTTTGTAAAACACACCTACTTATGGGGACCTAATGTTACTTATGGGGACCTGACTGGTAGTTATGGGGACTCGAGTCTAGTCCCCTTTAGGGGAAACGGTGTTGGTGGGTCAGGGGTTCAGTTTAGGACCAAGGTTTGAGTTGAGTTTAGGTTAGTTTTAAGGTCAGGTAGGGTTAGCGTTGCNAGGGGAAACGGTGTTGGTGGGTCAGGGGTTCAGTTTAGGACCAAGGTTTGAGTTGAGTTTAGGTTAGTTTTAAGGTCAGGTAGGGTTAGCGTTGCCGGTCAGGCTTAGGCTGTAGAAAATAGTGGAAGTCAATGCCAGGTCCCCATAAAGATAGCTGTACCAGTATGTGTGTGTGTGTGTTTCCAGTCTGTGCATGCTGAATACATGTTGTGTGTGTTTGCCCCTAGAAGAAGATCATGCTGAACACGTTTTTGGATGTGCTGATGGCAGATCCTCCCCCTCAGTGTCTCGTGTGGCTACCACTCATGCACCGACTAGCTAATGTTGAAAACGGTAAGTTTTGTAGTTTAAAGTGAAAAACATGAGCCTTCTGCAGGTGTCTATGTAAATGTTACAGTGATTTGAAGATTCTAAACATACATTTAAAATAAAAAAAACATTCATCAACTCATCAAGGAATTACTCTCAGCTACTATCATGCCAAACTTGAATTCAGKGTCTTTAAAGTTGGCTGTTTTATAACAATTTTCATACTGGATAAAGTTTCTTGGTGGGCWGTGGCAYCCATCTAAAACTGTGGTAGTGTCTAATGATTACTTAGGGTTTTGCTGAAATCTGGTGGTTTATGAGATATCTTGCTAACGCTTCAGACCAGAGGTTGACTTTTTTGCTTTGATGTGGTAAAAAGAAAATCTCGTTGTCGTCRCAAAAASCAGAAACACGTTGGAATAATACCAGAAAAGTCTGCGTGTATGATAATCAAATATGGTTTAATTATGAGCAACAAACAAACAGAACTGAATCAGGAAGTTCTGCATGCTTGCGACTGAACGTGTCAGCAGAATTCAGCCAATAATATACATCATGTCAACACCATGTGACAGTTTACAACCAATCACAGATTGCCAAATATACTGTCCAGCCTATCACAGGGCTCTCAGCCCAAAGAGTCTGTTAGAGTTCAGTCCATTGCGGAGTCGTCCGGAGCTATCAGAAAGATAAGAGTGATGGACAGTGTCAAGGCGAAACAGATATAAATAATTAGTCCATGACAATCCCTCCTCTTGAGTAAACAATACTCAAAACCAAACCAAATGGAATAATTATGAAACGTCCACACACAAATACATCACTCAACAAACGGATACAATGGAGAAATAAGGGAAAAAYAGTGCAAGTTAAAGGACGACCAACAACATATACATGCAACCAATGTAAGATACAACAGTAAAAAAGGCTTAAATGACAAGTGAAATATCAGAAACTCATCAGGAGAAAAACATGTCGAAATTTAAAAAACTCAAAAGCCCAAAGTTAGACAAGGTATCACAACACAAGTTCTGCCTCCCAGCCAATTTGATTGCGTGAGCCGCCTATGCTCCATCAGAATCTTATCTTGGATAAAGTGTTAACTTAATAACAACTAGTTGTCAAGTAATGAACCTTAAGTAATTCAAATTAGGACAATGTGTAAAAATTCAGTTCCCACCCCAGTCAAGACAAAATCACTAAAAAAACAAAACCCACAGTGCCCATAAGGCATGAACAGAAAACTGGATAAAGTTTCTTGGTGGGCTGTGGCACCCATCTAAAACTGTGGTAGTGTCTAATGATTACTTAGGGTTTTGCTGAAATCTGGTGGTTTATGAGATCTTGCTAACGCTTCAGACCAGAGGTTGACTTTTTTGCTTTGACATGGTAAAAAGAAAATCTCGTCATAATCTATATTTACCATTAACTTCAGTTTTTTATGACAATAATCAAACATTAAAGAGCATTTATTTTCATTCATTTTAATTTTGGAACACATGGGAACACAGAAATCACTGACTGTGGCCACAATAACTACACATAAACAGTGACATAAAACGATTGCGTTTAAAATATGAACAGGTCACCTGCTGTGGCCTGAACCCACAGCCTCACACCTTCCCTCTGGTCCACATGGACCTGAACTGGGCACCAGGTTGTTTGGACTCTAAAGTCTGAAGGGAGCTCACTGTCTCATCATACAGATGACTTCTGATGGCTGTCATCTGTTCTGGAGGCTGGATTTGGGCTTTGCTGCCACACCTGGGACTGGAATAAAAGGTGCCATTAAAGCCAAAGTTTTAAAATCAGGGAACATTTCTCCAATCTAAAAGAACAGAAGTTRGCCCCGCCCTCTGAACAAGGGATTTCTTGCTGATCTGACAAGTACTGYCTTCAGCAGGAGGAAMTCCTGCAGCGTGCTGCACCAGTGGTTCAGCTGCACAGGTTGGTGACCGGTAGTGCTCACAGACATGTTCTAAAGCCTCCTGTCCACAGCTCTGCAATGCACTGTCAGCTCCCAGTTAGCCAGATTCATTCAGTACCATGTCTAGGCCTGAGATGATGCTCAGACGCTCTGCAGTCTGTCAGAATGATGGACGGCCTTCACATTTTTTTATTCATTTATTCATTTCATATAAAAAATTTTTTATACACAATAAAGAAAAAAAATCACACTTGAGATGAAAGGAAGCAGAAAGAAGAAAACAGAAATCTTAAATCTGCCCCTTTTTCCCCAAATTAATTTCAAACAATAAAAATCAAAAAACAAAACAAATTAAAAACTTCAATTCCTTTTCAAATAACTTTTGATATACATTACTGGTATATGTCCTGATGCATCTCAGTAATCCAGGTAAAAAATCAAAAAGAAAAAAATTGTATAGGTCTTCTGGACGGGTTCTTCTCTAACGAAACGTTTCGTCTCTCCTCCAAGAGACTTCTTCAGTCTGAGAGTTTCAGGCAAAATTCAGGCTTTTAAGCACCTCTAATGGCCAGAACTCTGCAGTTTTCACTCATTTACAGGCCAGCGGTCACTCTTTCAGAGATGAGGATGTTCT